TCTCTTTGAATGTCCCTCAAACATCCAACGATAAGGCTACCTACTCGCTAATAGTAGGATATCATTGTCTAAAGGAAAAGAGGAAAAGAACGACTATTTTCGAGTAACAAAGTAGATAGCTGTTAGAATTGCTCAAACATTTTGCACTTATACAAAAAAATACTTTTCAAAAACAATTTTAAAACACTTTGTATACTTTCTCCACTTTGTGCCATTGCCGGTATTGTTGTCATACTGGCCATAGAAGCCATTGTTGTAGTCGAATTCGCAACGACTATGCCTTCTCCCATAGTATTAGAAGGTTGTTCTCCATAATTATTATTCTCAGGGTTCACTATTTTCCTAACTTATTTCCTTTCACTACGCTAAAAAAGACTTACGAAAGCGCTTTTTTTAGCCTTTAAAAGCGCTTAAAAGCGCTGTCTATGGTGGCGCTGCTATAGGTTTTAGTAGCATTTTTTGTTTAATGAAAAGCGCTTTCGTAGGTCTACCTAATACAACACTTTTTCTAAAAAGCGCTCTCTTAAGTAGGCTTTTGGCAGTGCTTTTTTATGAAGAAGCGCTTTCATAGGTCTACCTAAGGCAGCGCTTTTTTCTGGAAAAGCGCTCTCATAAGTTTTCTTTTAGCAGCGCTTTTTCCTGTAAAAGCGCTGTCTTAGGTAGGCTTTTAGCAACGCTTTTTTCTGGAAAAGCGCTTTCATAGGTGGTCTTTTAGCAGCACTTTTTCCTGGAAAAGCGCTGTCATATGTTTACCTTAGACAGCGCTTTTTGTGAAAAAGCGCTTTCATAGGTTACCTAAGGCAGCGTTTTTCTTGAAAAAGCGCTTTCATAGGGTGTTTTTTTTAGAGGTATAATTTATATAATTCATATACCTGCATTGTTTGCAGCATATTATTTATATAAACCAGTTGCCATAACCTGTAATTCATAAACCGTGGTAATGCATTGTATACCATTGTAATCCAAAATATATATACACCATTTTTGTACCTCAAAATATATAAAAACCATTGTTATCAGCATTGTAACTCAAAAACAGTCTTACAAAATCAACCCTAACAATAACTAAATCAGTCCTAATGTATGAAAGAAACACGGTCAATTATGTATTAAGGTCCTGGTCCTGCGAGGTTTGAACATAATAACACGGTCAATATGGTATTCCATGTACACATGTAACGTATTCATAACACTTTTTACATAATAATGTATTCATACCTTATATGATTCTCTGCTCAATAAAATATTGACACAATTCCTCTTTGATTTCTTCCAACTGAAGTTTCGTGTAATATGCACATTTGTATTCATCAAAGTACTACATAACAAAACATAATATGCATGATTTAGTTAAAAGTAAAAAATTATATGAAATATCCAAGAAATAATAAAACAAATCCTAAGTTATAAATCCATACCGTGACTGGAATCTCTATTTGATTCAGTTGAAGGATTTCTTTGATAAACCGCATAACGAAGTATCCGCAATCTATACCGTTTTGTTGTTGAGGACACTACATAGAAAAACAAATAAGAATATATAGTTGTATTGTTTTATCAAATAGCATAAATATTATAAGCAAAATAGTGGAAATTAATATACATGTACTTTGATCCAATTAATGTTGTTTGATTTAGACCGTCGTACCCGAGCTTCTCTTTGACACCGGAATACTTGTATCGCTCTAACAAAATAAAAATATATATTTAAAACAATGTCACAGAAATAATTAAATATATAAATACACACAAATATTTAGAATAATCTCACTTACGTATCAATCATTAACTTCATATCCGGATAATTTGTCCAATTACCGCCAACCGAATTCAGATAATAGACCACTTCTTTTATAGGATCGATAGCAACCAACAACCAGTGACGTCTATAAATTAAAACAACAGTTTAGAAGAAAATTTTCTACGCAAAAATTACAAATATTAAAATGAACTTAGAATGAAAATCTAACCCTGTAGGAATAGTATTATACGCCCAAAGATATAAGCTTTATGTACTTCCAGTTGCCATGAATCTTTCGACTAAGTGCTCTCTTACTGAATCTGGTTCCCTACCAATTGTCGCTCCGCTGACACGGGAGAAAGACACGAAATGGAATCTGTTTGACAATTAATTCCCGCGCATCAATTTGTCATATAACAACCTTAAATAAAAACATAATTAATATTAGACTATATTCATTGAAATATTTTTAAAAAAATTCAACTAATTACATAATATAAAGATGGGTTATCCTACCACTTCTCAATCTCATGCATACTCACGATTTTGAAAAGTTTCATAAATGAAGAACACGCAAAAAATATTTAAAAACAATGTAAAATTTTATAACACAACTCATCCCACCATATGTGTTAATTTGTTTACGATAAAATTTCACAAACAATTACTAGTCGTTCAAATGATAATTTGGTTGCTTGCAGGATTGACTAAATTGATCTTATGACACATGTGCATAAAATTTCCTTAAGTTATTGTGATTTGTGTGTGAGAATGAAGATTTCGATATGAAATAATCTTCAATAGAATTTAAAAATGATTTGTAAAGAGAAAATAAATGTAAAGGACTTTGACACAATAATAAAAATGCAGGAAAAATAACTTAAAGAACATGACTTTGCATTAAAGAAAATGGTGTTTCATACGTAAATTTCATTCAGTTCTGACTCTTTTCTCAATTCGCTAGATACTTTGAGTAATATGAGTTTTATATACAATTAAACACACAAAAAATCTAATACTAGAACCCTTATTTATACTAAAATCGAAATAACCGACTCGAACAACATTTTTTTCTAGAATCTGACATGTTGTCACTTGCATGTTACTTGTCTTTGATTCGCTTCCATGTGTCCTTAGAAATGGATAAGGACAAAAAACAATTACTTAGGCTTATTTTCAAATTTCAAACTTTCGTGGTTGAAATAATGTCCAAACCAAATCTCAAATTCGCAAGTTCCGAAACACTAATGTACATGCAGGAACTTCAATATATTTCTTCAAAAACATATCTGTCGAAATCAACCTCAATAAACTTGTCAAAAACACCTAACATGTCCAAACTCATCTCAATTATTTCTGGATCACCTTAAAAAGAACAATACGTCAAAAAAATCCAGCTAACATGGCGATGGATCAATTGTACCTTAGGAATACAAATGGTTCAGACGCACTCAAGTTCCATATATGAGGAGCCACCCCTAACCCGCAAACCTAGAGCCACGTGTATCAAAAGACATGCACGATGGAAGAGCATTTAATGTGTGTGTTCTCTATTACTTTTGAAATTGATCCGTGATTTTCCTATTTATTACTACAGTGAGACATCATCACCATCACCAGGGGCCAGACACAATTTTGAAAGACTTCACGGCTAGCATATGTGCGACAAGCCTTAGGGGAAAGTGTTTTTAGAGGACCAAAGGCCTGATACGAGGGTCCACTCATACATAAGCTCAATCAAGATTATCCAACATATATAATTAGCACACGTGAGATTCAAGGTATACTTTTCTTATCTCCATTTTCTGTTATACTCGTCTTGGACTCTGAACTGACTTGGGTGTTGGAGTGCTCACTCTGTTAAATCTATTATGCACCATCGTACCAAAAATTAACACCGTTGATTCCAAAGTCTTATGTCATCAATCAACATCAATTTTTATAATTACGAGGACCTAACTGGATACCCTCGACCCGTACGAACTATCTCTAATAAATACCGAACTTTTTAAAATCAAGTTTAAATAACCCTAAAAAATATAAACTCTAATTTTAAAATCCAAACCTAATAAACCTAATAATTTTTCAAATTTAACATATCGGTTTATATGAACGAGCCATTTTAACAAGCCATCCTCCCAAACCTACCACATTAGGTGATTATTTAATATTTAGGTTCATGATATATTCATAGACCTATATATTTTCATGAGGCATAATTTTCATGACTCAATAGCATTAACTCATTTAGCCATCTTAGGTTTTTTCTTCCAATAAAAATTTATGAATTATGATCGACTCTATTAAGCCATACCACCTGCCACCCATATGGTACCATTGACCTATGAACAATAAGTATTGCAAATCAATATGCAATTAACTTGGAAACTTTCTCATGATTTTATAAACATAATTTGTGAGCTACTAGTATATATGACTATACCCTTACAACACGTCGAAAAAAAGAAGAAATATTCAAAGTCATAAAAACACAATAAAGTACGAATAGTCTTTTCTTGTGACCAACCCTACCATATTAGCACAATCAAAAACTTTAATCCTGAATATGACTTAAACTTTTAAAAAATTACTAGTTGATAAATAGATCAATCATAGACAATTAAATTGTCGTGTTTTATGATTTTTAGAAGACTTATTGAATGGAAAATAAACGACGTAGGGGACAAGTCAACTATAGATGTGAAATTACTCTATTGAGGTAGGCACCAAAGCATTAAAATAGATCCATTGAATTGTAAATTTGAATGAAAGTTAAGTTTCATATGTAGATTAAATATAACATCATTCATTTTATTAATGACTTTATTTATAAGGTACAATAGCAATTTCTACTCTATTATTGGTAGGTGAAAGGAAGCTTCCACATTGCATATGATTCTACTAGTTGATAACTTGTTTTACTTGTAAAAGAGAATAACAAAAGTAGAGAATCACCAATTCAATGGTCACAAAATGCTTGAATGAAGTCACATCTCATATACATCATACTATTATTACAACGTGTGATTCAACAAAACCTTGTACTCAGTTTTCATTTTCACTTAGATTGTCTCATTTTTTGTTTTCTTAAACAAACATGTATAATTTCACTATTTTCTTTCTTCTCTACTAGAAAGAAACACTAAATTTTACTCATCATGCTAACTAAACCTTGCACATACATATATAAAATCAAAAAGCAAGTGGTAGGTTAAATAATAATCTCAAACAAGATCATCTTTCGCATGTCGGTTTCGTCTCATACACATTGTTTAGGCCGAAAATTTTCGTTCGATAGCATCTTGCTGATTAATGTTTCTAGTCTTTTTGAACCGTGGTTTGGCCTTAGGACCGTAGTGTTACCGACTACCGAGCAAGGGTCGGTACCGTTCTCTCTGCTGCCAATGCACCAACCACCGGGAACAGGCATTCCAGGGTTTCGGGATAAGAGCTCTGAGTCGATTTTGTCCAAAACCGGATCTTCTCGATGGAACTTTCTTGCGAAGGGAGCGTTGCTATCGACCATAGCTTTCATATCGTCGGCAGTGAGGTAGTGAGGATGTTGCTTGGGAGGATTGTCCCATGAAATGAAGTGTAGGTCGCTATTCACGGTTGTGTTTTTGAATTCTTGAGCGTTGCAAATAACTGTGTGGAAGTATCCTTCGGGCGAAGATATGAAATTCGAATAGTACATGAGAACGGTTCGCGGTAAATTGTCCCATCCCCATATGACATAGTCGATGAAAGGTCTCGAGAGTACCATCCAAGCCGAACCTAATAAGAGAGAAATATTACGTGATTTACAAAATGACTTGCCATCATGAAACACTGACATAGACACGGACACTAACAAGTCTACCCTGAAAATAGTTTGAGAAGATAAATTCAGCTGTCCTGCAAAAAACTAAACCGATGACACTCATGACACCGTAAAACGAATACATAAGATTTCTCAAGGCTCGAAACATTAATGGCTGCACTATCGATTCAAAACATTCCGATGCAGAAACCAAGAAAACACTAAAAGATTTTCTCAGAAACTCGCTTATTTAACTTCCCCATGAACACTGATAAATAAGCTTTTAAAGACTTTTCGACAAGAGAGAAACCGTTAACTTGTTTCAACGGAAAAGCTCTGTAAGATAGAAGCTAAACCACACTGTGCCTTATTCCTTGTACTCAATATCACCACCAAAAAGTAAAAAACTACAATGCAAACATAAAAGAACATCTATCTATAGCCACATAAAACTATATCGAAAAATTGGAAAACCGAAAAGAAAATGGGAGAAGAAACCCAGCAGACAAGAAAAAGGATATTCCATATTCACCTGTGAAAAGCTTGAAAGCAGTAGGTCTACTTCTCCTCTGTGTAACCCAAAACACATCTTGCTTCTTATTCATGTACAACCCTGGATCAACAATTATCGGCCTCGCACGCTGATGACTAATAAAGAACACACAAAACACCAATCAATCTCCATCCTCAAAACAAACAAAAAATCACAAATCAACAATAAATGATCCAAAAATCTCACTCTTTCCATCCAATGTCACTAGTATGGTCGATGAAATTAAGATCGCGCGGCAAGTAGCTAAAAGTGTGAAGCAGATCTACTCATCCAAAATCCACAAGACAAAACAACAATCAATACTCAAAACCATAAAACATCATTAAAAAACATACAAAATCCTAAATTTCAATCCTCAACCTATGATAACTCTATTCTACTAATCTCCAAAACCTTAATTTCAACTAAACAACAACCATAATTGAAAACCTTAAACATCAAATTAGAAAGACAAAAAACACAAACCATCTTGAGTAACAAGTGGATAATCAGAAGCACTAAGATTGATGAACCAATCCCAATCACCACATTCCTTCAACAAAATAGCAGCAGCATGAAGAGTATTAGCAACCATAGTGGGACCTCTATAAGTAATCAGATTCGCCTTAGTAATCATCTTAACATTCTCAAATCTCTTAAACAAATCATGATTCTTGACAAACTCCAACAGATCCGCACGTTCCTGAGGTGAAGATTCAAGGTCAAGATGAACAACATAACGGTTATGAGGATGATACATCGCAAGAAGCACCCTTTTGACAGATGCACCATCACCAGCAGAGCCAGAGATTAGATAAGCAAAGCGAGGTGGTGGAGGGAGCGTTGAAATGGGTAAAGGGTGAAGCTTAGATTCAACAAAAGCGGAATAATAAGAAGCTGAAATGGAACGGTAGAAAGGCAGAATGTGTGTGCCTTGTGGTGATGTAAGTGTTGCAACGAAGAGAAGGAAGAGAGAGAGGATTGAACCGATTGCAAGTGGGAAAATCCATTTTCTTTCTGGGGATTGGTGGTGGTGATGGTTTTTGAAGTGCATGTAATAGTTTTTCAATTTCTTCATTTTGTTTGTGATTGTGCTTGGATTTGTGGTGATGTTGGGTTTCTTTTTCTGATGAAAATCACAGAAAAAGAAAACCCTTTTGAAGATTTCTACACCAATTTGTAGTGTTAGGGGTGAAATCCAAGAAGAATTGAAAAAGTTTTGATTTTGAGATGTGGGGTTTGTGAAAAATTGAATTTTTTTCAGATGGGTGATGTTGAGTTTTAGGGTATTTTTCTGTGGGAAAATGGTGATGTATGTGTTCTGTTTGCGTTGTTCAGTTTCACTGAAATGTTGGAAATTGGTAAGAGAGAGAAAGAGAGAGAGAGAGAGAGAGTTTATATAACCAATTAAACAAAGACTAGTTCTAGTACAATATAAGAGCTTTTTTTTTTTTGTAAAAAACTATATAAGTGTTTTTTTATGTTTTTGTTTTTTGTTTTTTTGATTATATTAATGTTGGTGTGTGTGATGAAGGGGTAATTTGGGTATTTTATTTGTGAGTAAAGGGGTATTTTGGGTATTTATGTTGTGAATGGGGTCATGAGATATTGAGAAAGAGTTTAGATTAGGAAATTTGGATTAGAATTTAAATAACTGAACATAAGAATTTAAGAAAGATTAATAAGTGTAGATTAAGAAAACACTAATTTAAGAAAGATTAATAAGTTTAGGTTAATAAGTATTATGTTTGTGTCCGTTTGTTTTTGTTTATATTATTGTTTAAAAAAAAATTATAAAGATTGTTTTAAAAAAATTAATTTAAATTTTTTTCATAAAGTATTAATTTAGATGCTTTTTATTTTGATATAATTTTTATATTAAAACTTAAAAAAAAATATTTAAATTTTTTTTTTTAATTTTTTATAAAAATTTAAAGATATATGTTATTAAAAAAATTACAATATGATTTCGATTATGTTTTAATTTTGAAAAATATATATTTAGGTTACTTAATATCAAAATTAGTATTTTATTTTATAAAAAATAATTTTAAAATATTTTATTATTTTAAGTAGGTTAATTATTTTTTGTTTATTTGCAAGTTATGAAATTTTTATTTTATATAGATTTGTTTTACAATTCTTATTTAAGTGGATGTAATCTTTTTCTTTTTTTTTTTATGGTTGTATTAGGTTTTTTTTGTGAAAAATACTTCTTTTGGTTTTTTATGGTTGTATTAGGGAAAGTGATGTAATTAGTGTTATTCAGTTTAGTGGAGTTATTATTATTAATCTAGAGAAGAAAACGGTGCTTTAAAATTTTATTCAAAAAAAGATAACGTTGTCTTAATAAAAGTAAATAAATAATTTGGTGTTTAACCATTTTAGCAAAATTAATTTCGAAAGAAAACAGTTTGAATTAAAGTGATAAGTAGTGTTGTAATTATCATATGGATGATGATGATGTGTACGTTTGTTGAGGAAGGTGGGAAGTGGTTTTATTATGAAAATTGTTATGTATTGTCTAAATTTGTCAGAAAAATTATCATATTGTTGTCCAATAAAATATCTAAAGAGAAATATTTCTCTTTTTACACTAGTATAATTGATACAATATCTATGTATATTTGGTATTTTAATAGATATTTCAAAATGATTCAAATAATGCTATATTTGTACAAAATAGTTTCTATTTTTAATTTTGTTTGTTTAATTAATTTTCACATTTGGGGAAAAAGTTATAAAATATTAATCATTGTAGTTTTCAATGTACTTTTATCTAATTATATAATCTAATTATACAATCTAATTATACAATCTAATTATAACTATAATACATTATAGTACATGACTTTCAAATTGTCAAATGAGACTTAATTAATAATTAATGTGAGTAGTTTGAATTTTTTTTAATAATAATTAGGTATTGAAAAAAAAATATATAAATAATCATGTTTCGGTAAAAATTATGTAAATAACTATGTTTCAGAAAACTCCACAATAGAGGAGTCAAGTGAGTTGGCGCATACACCTAACTTTTTGTCTTGTGTGCCATCTCACTTGGCGCATGCTCTCTATTTTAGTCAAGTGAGATGGCGCATGTATTATAAAAAGCAGAGGAGGCGCCATCTCACTTGGCTATTACGTGCAATTGTGTTTTCTATAAATAAATCACTCATTTCTCCGTCATTCTTCACACTTTCTCGCATTGTCTTCTTATTTTTTCTCTGTTATTTGCGTCATGACATCTCCCATGATTTTCACCAGAGATGGATACATTATTTTCTCGGCCATCAAACCTCCGATGAAAATGAAATTTTGGCACGTTCACCCCATGGAGCGTCTGAAGAGAGAGTTGATACGATGGCTAGAGGCACACATCGAGGATGGGGAACAAATTAGAAGGATCCAGAGAAGAAGAAGAACCACCTCACTTGCAACTAAAAGACCTAATTTTTGGTTGGAGGAAGTCAAAATAGACGGAGACGTAATGGTGATGATGCATGGCTCAGATGAAATTGTTTTAACGGTTGTAATTTTTTATACGTTTTATCGTATTTTTATTTGTTGTTTGCGTATGGTTTGTTGTAACAAATGCTCTTAATGAAAAACAATAATGTTTAGAACTTAAAAAGTGCAGATGGTTTGCATATAATTTTTATGTTGTTGTTGTAGACGTCGAGCAAGGTTTCAGACTTGTAAATGGGAGATAGAAGTTGTAATGCGCCTTGATGAGTATACGCACATGCCGCAATGACATGAGAGCAAGGCATACGAAAGGCTTGAAACTTACCATAATCACACCAACGAGATGGTAGTATAACCCTCTACTCTTGTCTTTGCAGCCCCTCGTTGTGGTCGATTGTCTCTTTGACAATGAAGTTGTGGATGTGTCGGTCGAACCTTATAACCAGATGGGTGTTGGCTTTGGCACTTTCTGTCTTAATATACTTCATATATCTTTCACTCCATAGTTGTCCCGATTGTAAGACCGTATTTCACATTTCACCTCTTTTGGAAAACAACGAAGCCATCCTAAAATATGTTGATTTAACCAAAACGGTTACTAGGAGGTTTCGTATGCCTTTGAATACACTGTTCATGGATTCGATAAGATTTGTTGTCATGTGGCCCCATAGTTGTCCATTGTCGTATGACCTTGTCCATTTCTCCACTGAAATATTATCGATCCACCTACCTGCGTTCGAATTTGACAATTTGATCTCGTCGCGATAGTGTTTGAACGTAGGTTGTGTTAATGCATACCCCGCGTTCATAATTGTTTTCCTAAGAGCTTTGTCTTTGATCTCCCTCGTGAAATTTTGTACAATATGTCCAATGCATTTGACATGCGTAGAAGGGGGATCATGCCAACCGTTTGCAAGATTATTGTATGCACTATCTGTAACGCCCGTAATTTAATTAAATTATTTTTGGAATATTTATGAAGATGTATTATAATTAAATTAGATTTATTTTATTAAGTGGAGAAATAATATTAAAGATATAATATTATGTGGTGAAATAATATTAGAAGTGTAATATTATTTAATGTGGGCTTATTTTGAAGAAATAGAAGTAATAAGGGGGTGTATTGGTTTTAAGCCCATTAAGGAATAATAGAATAAATAGGGTCATTTTATTATTTGTTGTTAGAATAGAAGGAAAGAGGCAGTAGAAAGAAATAAGGATTTGGAAGAGAACGTGCAAGCTGCTAGAGAAAGTGGAATACGGCAAGAACGAGAATCCAACCGGAACTGTAGAGCGACCTTCAATCCAAGGTAAGGGTGGGGTTCTGACTCTATAATTGGGTTTATGATAATTGATATGTGGGGTTAGTGGTGATTGTTGTTTTGTTCTTGAATTGAGAATATATGATTGATGTATGATGAAGATTGATGAATTTTGATGAATATTGATGCCTTGATGCTGTTAAAATGCTGTAAGATTATAGGGTAATTATGGGTGATGAATTGTCATGAATATATTAAGTTTTAGGGCTTTAAGCGTGAATCCCATAGTGAGATGCAGGGAAGAAACGCATAATTATGCTAGAATGATATCAGGAACCACTGTATTAGAACTAAGGAATTATTGTGGAGAATAGAATTTGTTAATACTGTTCTTAGTTAGATTGATATCAGGCAAGGAATTAGAACAATAGGATGAATAGAAAATAACAATTCTGAAGTCAGACGCAAGTTGTTAGAAGTTGCGTTGAATCATTATAAAGAAACAGTTTTGAGGTTAGAAGTTGAACTAGTCAGAATTTGCATTAGTCAGAAGATGGCATTAGTCAGAAGATGTGATGATCAGAAGTTGTATCTGGTCAGAAGATGGCATTAGTCAGAAGATGTGATAATCAGAAGTTGTACCTGGTCAGAAGATGGGGTTAGTCAGAAGCTGTGATGATCAGAAGTTGCATCTGATAAGAAGTTGTATTAGTCAGAAGTTATAGTTGTTAGAAGATCGTGTCACCCAGGGGTTACGTCATTAGAAGTTGTGTATTTAGAACTAGCATTGGTTAGAGGTTGCGTGGTCAGAAGTTGGATGGCCTTTGCGTTGTTTTGTACAGAGCGATGAACGTTAGATGCTTAGAATCTGTTGTTTGAGCTATAACAGTAGGATAGTGACGATCTTGACTTTAGAGTTACAGAATGACAATGTTGACTTACTGTGGAAATTAAAATACTACTGAGTTATAAATGAGAAGTTATTAATAAATAAATGACGTTTGATGATTTATTTTGATTATTTAAGATGTTATTTTGAGATGTTATTTTGAGATGTTAATTTGAGATGTCTTTGAGATGTTTTGAGATGATAATTTGAGATGTTTCGAAATGATAATTTGAGATGTTTTGAGATTATTTGAGATGTTGTTAACTTGGGTGTTATCAGTACATTCATGGTTGTGTCGCATACATTGCATTTTTTAGATGGAGCTTATGCTCGTTGAGATGGCCTGGATTGGCAAATTTTGAGATGAAGGCTATACCTTGTTGATGCCTCTATTAATTGGCAAATTTTTGAGATGGGAGTTCTGTTCCAATGGTACCACATGCATTTGCATAGTAT